TTAGAATACTGTGTCGTGCTAAGTGAGGGTTATCTATACAAAGATTAGAATACTGTGTCGTGCTAAGTGAGGGTTATCTATACAGAGATTAGAGTAATGTGTCGTGATAAGTGAGGGTTATCTATACAGAGATTTGAGTAATGTGTCGTGATAAGTAAGGGTTATCTATACAGAGATTAGAGAAATGTGTCGTGTTTATTGAGGGTTATCTATACAGAGATTTGAGTAATGTGTCGTGATAAGTGAGGGTTATCTATACAGAGATTAGAATACTGTGTCGTGATAAGTGAGGGTTATCTATACAGAGATTAGAGTAATGTGTCGTGATAAGTGAGGGTTATCTAAAGAGAGATTAGAATATAGTGTCGTGATAAGTGAGGGTTTTTTAACAGAGATTAGAGTAATGTGTCGTGATAAGTGAGGGTTATCTATACAGAGATTTGAGTAATGTGTCGTGATAAGTAAGGGTTATCTATACAGAGATTAGAGAAATGTGTCGTGTTTATTGAGGGTTATCTATACAGAGATTTGAGTAATGTGTCGTGATAAGTGAGGGTTATCTATACAGAGATTAGAATACTGTGTCGTGATAAGTGAGGGTTATCTATACAGAGATTAGAGTAATGTGTCGTGATAAGTGAGGGTTATCTAAAGAGAGATTAGAATATAGTGTCGTGATAAGTGAGGGTTATCTATACAGAGATTAGAGTAATGTGTCGTGATAAGTGAGGGTTATCTATACAGAGATTTGAGTAATGTGTCGTGATAAGTAAGGGTTATCTATACAGAGATTAGAGTAATGTGTCGTGTTTATTGAGGGTTATCTATACAGAGATTTGAGTAATGTGTCGTGATAAGTGAGGGTTATCTATACAGAGATTAGAATATTATGTCGTGATAAGTGAGGGTTTTCTATACAGAGATTTGAGTAATGTGTCGTGATAAGTGAGGGTTATCTATACAGAGATTTGAGTAATGTGTCGTGATAAGTGAGGGTTATCTATACAGAGATTTAAGTAATGTGTCCAAATAAGTGAGAGTGATGGTTCGTGATTTGTGAGGGAAATCAATAAAGACATTTGTTAATTGTAACGTGATTACAGAGTGTTATCTGTAAAGAGCTTTTGATATTTTGTCCCGTTTAGTGAGGGTTCTCTTTACAGAGATCTCATCATTGTGTCGTGATTATTGCAGGTTATCTATAGAGATATTTGAATAATGTGTCATGTCGAGTGAGGGTTTTTTAACGTTACTCGGTCATAGTATGCGTTATAGTCAAGATTTTCTTCCATAGTTTATGTCAAAATATGGATATCTCGAATTTTCCTCCAACGTCCTTACAACTATTCACACAGCATTGTATAAAATTACATTTTACACTGATGCCATTTTGGACCTACAGATATCAGACATTAACAACTAGTTTTTGTGTGACCTGAGGGAGACTAAGACGAACAATATGACCAAAAAAAAACAATGTGCGCACAGTATGTGATGTCTTTTTAAATCCTTGTGGGCAGGTGTCTGCCAGAGAAGACGGTTTGTGTTAAGAGTGCTGTCTCGTGCGTTCAGACTAACAATCAGATAAACTAAAAATAAAACAAATGTAAGCCCTGAACACACGCATCAAGTTAAGGAACCTAGTCAGACAAGACATAGTGAAAATCACGGAGACACACCGCTATACAGACACACGAGCGTTGACCTTTATCCTATGGGATTTAAAATCGTTAAACCTGTGTTATGAACGTAAAATTCCTCGTTTTCTGTCTGCTTGGAAGTATATATATACCAACGTGTCAACACACAACAGTAATGTCACCAGAGGCAACAAAGTGTCATCATATACAACAACGTGTCACAACATGGAACAATGTGATGTCATACACACCAAAATATCTTATGTCACAACATGTAACATTGTGATGTCATACACATTAAAAAATATCTTATGTCACAACCTGTAACTATGTGACATCATACACAACCAAATATCTTATGTCACAACCTGTAACTATGTGACATCATACACACCCAAATATCTTATGTCACAATATGTATCAATGTGACATCATACACACCCAAATATCTTATGACACAACCTGAACTGTGTGACATAATACACACCCGAATATCTGATGTCATGACATGTAATTATGTGACATAATACACACCCAAATATCTTATGTCACGACATGTAACTATGGGACATAATACACACCCGAATATCTTATGTCACAATATGTCACAATGTGATGTCATACACACCCAAATATCTTATGTCACAACATGTAACTGTGTGACATAATACACACCCAAATATCTGATGTCACAATATGTCACAATGTGATGTCATACACACCCAAATATCTTATGTCACGATATGTAACAATGTGACATCATACACACCCAAATATTTTGTCACGACATATAACTATGTGACATAATACACACCCAAATATTTTATGTCACGACATGTAACTATGTGACATCATACACACCCAAATATCTTATGTCACAACATGTAACTACGTGACATCATACACACCCAAATATCTTATGTCACGACATGTAACTGTGTGACATAATACACACCCAAATATCTTATGTCACGACATGTAACTATGTGACACTAACACAACAACAATATGTCACAACACGTCGCAAAGGAGAGGAGAATATGAGCACACAAAAAGGGTCACCATAGACACGAGAAAATATCACAACAGACAACAAAGTGTCACTACACAAAATATAGTGTCACCACAGGCAACAAATTGTCATCCCGCACAACATAATGTCTCCAAACAATACAGATTCACACCACATAACAAAGCGTCACCACATGCAATACAGTGTACACACACACACACACACACACACACACATAAACACACAAACACACACATACACAATAAATTGTTGCAGTCCGTATTACAAAATTCCGGGGGCTTGGATATTTTGCCATGCACCACAGCGACATCTCTCAAATAGATAATACATTGCAGGTTGACATCAAAGATGAAACTGCAGCCTAAATAATGTGTTGTGCTTCCCTATTCTTGAACAGTGGGGCCAAAAGATCGATTCCAGGCAAACTCTCTCTGAGGTAATCTGTCTCGAGACCGATACAAGCCTTAGCTAGCACGGATATCGCCCAAGTTTGCACTCGATGACCTCACAGGGACACGGCTGGTGTCGCTAATATTATCAAGCATCCGTTGCTTTCACTTGATGCTGTGTTTTACATATGTATATTGGTTTTAAACACATGATTTGATTTTGTTCGCATGATCTTGATAGGATGCAACATATTTCCGTCCCCTTTTCAGTACCAGATTGTTTTTGTGATGTCTGTTTGTGTCTGTCTGTCTGTTTGTGACTGTCTGTCTGTCTATCTGTTTGTCAGTCTATCTAAATCTGAAAAGTTCTCTGTTAGTACAAAACATGTAGTTTGGTGTCATTAAATGTTTAGAATCGTCATTTGAATAAAGGCATTAAGACGTTATACACAGAAGCGAAAAAAGGGGACGCCATTATTACTGAAGTTACTCACCTTTGCTGTCGGCGACACGTCATGACGCTTTACAGGTACATGTAGCACTAGTACAATGTGATATTTGATGTGATGTCGTTTCCTATTCCAATCGCATTGGTGTACCTTACCACTGCAGGTTGTTATAAAATGACGAATTCATATCTGATATGCATAAGCAGTGTTAGGTTTTATTTTATAATATTATTAAAATATACAGTAAATCTGTAGGTAAGTCACACACTTGAACATACAAGCAAAGACGATTTTCAATATTAATGATCTTACACGATGGTTTTGCTACTAGAACAATTGAAAAGACTTGTTACCTAGTCAAGGTGGCGACGATTATAGCGATAAGGTTTTAATTACCGCAGGACATTTGTACTAAGGATATGTCCATCATTATAGAACGTTTTCTTAAGTATTGGTTTACTTACCGCGCTATAAATCTATACCATCAGCACCATCATTCTATTTATAGATTTATCTCTCCTTTTCGTTACTATCCGGGTCTTTTGTATGTTTCAGGTAACCTTGTCGTACCATAGTTGAAATTAGGTAGTATGTGTCATATTCGGATTAATATCGAGGTTTATGATAAGATTCACACAATGTTATATGAATGGCATGGTAATAGAAATGAAAATCATATGGAGAAAGAGTGTTTTATTCGCGTTCTTGTCTGTACAATAACGCCATATTATTTCTAATATAAATGAAGGGTTCTGTTGGAGATCGGTCCTTGTTTGTACAATAACGCCATATTATTTCTAATATAAATGAAGGTTTCTATAATAGATCGGTTCTTGTCTGTACAATAACGCCATATTATTTCTAATATAAATGAAGGTTTCTGTTGGAGATCGGTCCTTGTCTGTACAATAACACCACATTATGTCTAATATAAATGAAGGGTTCTGTTGGAGATCGGTCCTTGTCTGTACAATAACGCCACATTATGTCTACTACAAATGAAGGTTTCTGTTGGAGATCGGTCCTTGTCTGTACAATAACACCATATTATGTCTACTACAAATGAAGGTTTCTGTTGGAGATCGGTCCTTGTCTGTGCAATAACACCTTATTATGTCTACTACAAATGAAGGTTTCTGTTGGAGATCGGTCCTTGTCTGTGCAATAACGCCATATTATATCTACTACAAATTATTTCTAATATAAGGGTTTCTACACAATAACGCCATATTATGTCTAATATAAATGAAGGTTTCAGTTGGAGATCGGTCCTTGTCTGTACAATAACACCACATTATTTCTAATATAAATGAAGGTTTCTGTTGGAGATCGGTCCTTGTCTGTACAATAACATCACATTATTTCAGCCCTGTTGGTGTTTGTTGGAGGTCGGTATTGTCTGTACAATAACGCCATATTATTTCAGCTCTGTTGGTGTTTGTTTGAGGTCGGTATTGTCTGTACAGAAACACAACATACAACATGTATGCCCACTTAGAAATTTTCTTTTTTTTTCATTTAATGGAAACAAGAATATGCATTCGTAATAAATTATATTACAATAGTTCTATAATTAAATAAAATTTTATAAGAAAAAAGCAAGAAAAGAAATCTAGTTTTTCATTTGCTTTGAAATCATTTTTATCCTTTCGCCTCACTTGACACACATTGCCGGCCTACTGAGGCAGTCCTTGATATCGAGGAAAGTGACGTATGTTTGCGGAGGACCAATATTTCTGTCAATTATTATTTTGGTTTCCGATAGACATCTAGATTTACTTGACATTTGTCATGAATATCATTAAAATCAATTTTAAGTTTATCGTATAATTACTTGACAAGTCTTTGACACTTTTTAATATTATATTTCAGAACTGATTTATCTAAAAAAATGTTGATGCACATCTGAGTTGTATATTCGCGATCGCGAAACGCACTTTTTTTTAGGATTAGTTCAACTCGATATTTAAATATCGACACAAAATTTAATATTTCAAATCAATAAAAAAAAATGCATTGCTATAGAAGAGAGGAAGTATTGTTAGAGATTTCCATGCAAGACGGTTGTATTGACTAGAAGGTTGATATTGTCAATTGTAAACGTTGATTACCAAGGCAACAAAATAAGAAATGGTATTTTTGTTGCAATCTTGTTTCGGTTGTAACCGTTCTTACTCCGTTGTAAACATATCTAGATTTGATCGATCACAACAAAACTCTGACAAATGATCCTGGTCCCGAACGTCAACACTGCCTGCTTGGACAGCAAGTTCAGAACATCAGCATTTGACCTTTCTGAAAAGGTCGATATCCAAATTATGTTGGACACTTCACGAACATCACGCTAAACTTTGAGATTTGCTTGGCCGCGGAGAGTTGTGTAATAACCCCCATTATTTTCTGCATGGATGGTGCATTCTATAGTCTTCATCCTGGCGAAATGTATCTGAAAATTAAAATTTAACGTTTAGATATTTACATTCGGTGTGTAACTGATCATTTTTAACATTAAGTTTCATTGTGTTTTCAAACAAGAGGGACAATTATTCTCCAATGTTCCAAAGTTGTTGAATATTTGTCTTTTCAAGTTTGTTTAGTTTCAAACCAGCTTTTTCCGTTATTTACATGGATCGTTAAATTTAAGAATGGTCTGGAGCAACTAGCCATCTTGATTCTAGATTTCTTCTGGAGATCGACAAAACATGGTGGACGTTTGTTAGATTTTCAGTTAGTGTAGAAAAAGTGATCTCACTCGTGTCATGAACCGTATATTTACAACATGTCAAAGATAATACTGGGGACGGCATAAAAAAAGCCGAACATCGACATTTCATTCGAGTGTTTAGTGTCACTTTATAGTAATCGATGACTATTTTCTTGTGTCTCTTTTTATAACTCATTAGAAGTTAAAATAGATTTGCAGCCACAACAAATTGTCGAATATGCCGAAAACAATACCTTTCAGTACCATCGGACATCCAAATAGGTGACTCCAAACAGAATGGTAAGGAAGTGCTCCCAGAAACGTGAAGTAGAAGTCGCCAACATCGTTGGCACTTCGTAAAGGGCGCTACACACTATTCATTGTCTATATAGATCGACGGCAAGACACCAAACAACATCAGCGAACTAAGTATCTACACTATCTTACCCTTACATTAGCTGGGTAAAGGCCGCATACGTGAAGTAATCACGTGATGTTCTAGGAAATCAATTCATAATCACACAGGCTCTTACAAAAGATGACAAAACCACCAAGGCGGTCGCGTTTTCACATTTTGGAGTACTTAGCATTGTCCTAGTGATGGTTAAGTGAAATTTTGTTACAAATGAGGACTACACAGACATCACGTTGATCACTAATCGTGTGCAAAGTTTAACATTTGTTTTCTAAGGTGTTTTACTGTAAAAATGCTTTGCAACAAGCACTATCTACTTGGTGGAAAAATACGCAGGATTTTGTCCTGTCCTCACCATACCTTTCATGTGTGTTTTTTTTTTCTGGTTTATGAGTCACTTGCAATCTCGATATGCTTTCATTAGTTCTAGTTTCATCTGTCTCATTGCAATTACCTATGTACCTTACTAGTCTATATTTTTGATGTCACTGTTGTGCTCTTTCGTAGCATGAAATATGAATTCATTAATGTTTGTGGACAATAGAAAATTGCTACTCTTGAATCACGTATTTTCGAACTTAATGATTTAGAAAAGAAATACTTCCGAATATCTTATTCCTGACTTACACACAAATAATGTCTGTGTTTTTACCCAAAGATATGTAATATCCTGACTACAATGTCTCTGTTTTAACCCTGGGGTGTTATATCCTCATCACAATTAACAATGCATGTGTTTTGACCTTGGAATTGTTATGTCCTGACTACAGTGTCTGTGTTTTAACACTGAAGTATGTTATGTCCTGACTACAGTGTCTGTGTTTTAACACTGATGTATGTTGTGTCCTGACTACAGTGTCTGTGTTTAATACTGATGTATGTTATGTCCTGACTACAGTGTGTTTAACACTGAGGTATGTTATGTCCTGACTACAGTGTCTGTGTTTAACATTAGGATATGTTATGTCCTGACTACAGTGTGCATGTGTTTTGACCTTGGAATTGTTATGTCACTACAGTGTCTGTGTTTTAACACTGAAGTATGTTATGTCCTGACTACAGTGTCTGTGTTTTAACACTGATGTATGTTGTGTCCTGACTACAGTGTCTGTGTTTAATACATGTATGTTATGTCCTGACTACAGTGTGTTTAACACTGAGGTATGTTATGTCCTGACTACAGTGTCTGTGTTTAACATTAGGATATGTTATGTCCTGACTACAGTGTCTGTGTTTAACACTAGGATATGTTATGTCCTGACTACAGTGTCTGTGTTTAACACTAGGATATGTTATGTCCTGACTACAGTGTGTTTAACACTGATGTATGTTATGTCCTGACTACAGTGTCTGTGTTTAACACTGAAGTATGTTATGTCTTGACTACAGTGTCTGTGTTTAACACTAGGATATGTTATGTCCTGACTACAGTGTGTTTAACACTAGGATATGTTATGTCCTGACTACAGTGTCTGTGTTTAACACTAGGATATGTTATGTCCTGACTACAGTGTCTGTGTTTAACACTAGGATATGTTATGTCCTGACTACAGTGTCTGTGTTCTAACACTGATGTATGTTATGTCCTGACTACAGTGTCTGTATTTAACACTGAGGTATGTTAAGTCCTAACTACAGTGTCTGTGTTTAACACTGAGGTGTGTTGTGTTCTGACTACAGTGTCTGTGTCTTAACACTGAGGTTATGTGCTTTGGTCATGTCGTTCATTAATTGATGAAGATGATTGAGTATTGCTGTGTCGTCTGGGTCTGATGTAGGATATATAACTTGAGATTTTTTTTTAATTTCCTCTCATGACGATAAGACATTAACAGAACCATATCATAAATGTATGCTCTCACCAATCATTTAGTAGACATGTTACTGAGCTCACACCTCGATCAACAAAAGCATAAACAGTCATCAAGTATTGCGTCGGCTGTCTCCTAATAACTTTCCGCAGCAGTTTATAGTATAAACTGGTATGTTTTAGTACAAGCTTCATATTAGATCTCGCAGAACACGAGCTTTTAGACGACGCAGTGAAACGATTTGAGAAGAAATTGAGTAAAAATGGAATTATGTTAACACTAACATAATGAATGGAGCTATGAAATAATGGAGATATTGTTGGGTGACAGAGACACACAAACGAATATAAACACTACACATAATAATGGAGATACGGTTTGGTGACTGAGACACACAAACAAATGATACGGTTTGGTGACTAAGACACACAAACAAATGTTAACACTACACATAATGATGGAGATACGGTTTGGTGACTGAGACACACAAACAAATGATACGGTTTGGTGACTAAGACACACAAACAAATGTTAACACTACACATAATGATGGAGATACGGTTTGGTGACTGAGACACACAAACAAATGATACGGTTTGGTGACTAAGACACACAAACAAATGTTAACACTACACATAATGATGGAGATACGGTTTGGTGACTGAGACACACAAACAAATGATACGGTTTGGTGACTAAGACACACAAACAAATGTTAACACTACACATAATGATGGAGATACGGTTTGGTGACTGAGACACACAAACAAATGATACGGTTTGGTGACTAAGACACACAAACAAATGTAAACACAAGTTAAAAGTCTTAAACACATATTGCATAAATAGATGAAGGCCTTAACAGATATCGGAAAAACGATTGGACAAATAAACGAAGCCATAGACACATACTGGAGAAGTAAAGAAAAACATACATCAATCTTGAATCAAAGAGGCATCCACACTAAGTGGACAAATAAATGAAGGATGAGACACAAATTAATGAAAAAAGGCATAAACACGAATTTGAATTAATTAAAGGAAGGCATAATGAAAAATTGGACATAAAAAGGCAGACATAATGTCTGACAAATAGACAAAGGAAAAGACACTCCTCTGACAAATAGACAAAGGAATGGACACCTATCTGACAAATAGACAAAAGAAAAGACACTCGTCTAACAAATAAACAAAGGAATAGACACTCCTCTGACAAATAGACAAAGGAATAGACACTCCTTTGACAAATACACAAAGGAATATACACTCCTCTGATAAATACACAAAGGAATGGACACCTATCTGACAAATAGACAAAAGAAAAGACACTCGTCTAACAAATAAACAAAGGAATAGACACTCCTCTGACAAATAGACAAAGGAATAGACACTCCTCTGACAAATAGACAAAGGAATATACACTCCTCTGACAAATACACAAAGGAATAGACACTCCTCTGACAAATAGACAAAGGAATAGACACTCCTCTGACAAATAGACAAAGGAATAGACACCTATCTGACAAATAGTCAAAGGAAGAGACGATTCTGATAAAAAAGTATTTACAAACATCGGACAAATAAACGGAGGAAGACATTCTTCAGGCAACCAAATGAATACATATCGGGTAATTAACAAAGGTTTAGATACCAAATAGACAAATAAATTTCTCGTGGTTTCCCACAGTACTCCGCTTTCCTCCAATAACAATGCCCATCCCGTGCTTCTAACCTGACCACAGGAGTGGTCGGTATAAGTTAAAATGAACACATGTTGTAGTTTTGTTGATATTAGAATGATATTAAGCGATATATACATGATGATTTTTGTATCTTTCCAGGATCTCAGGATAAAGACATTTCCTTATGGTAAGTCACGCTTATTCTTTACGTAAAAAACTAATTAAAAGTTCTCTAGACAGTAACATAATCGTTTCAAATATTGATATTTCTTATTGTTTATAAATTCTTTTAAGATTTCAGTGGATATACAAAAGGTAAGTGTCCTTTGCAGACGGAGATTGGTCAAGGTGTCCTCAGATACCTTTTGAAATTTAAATTAAATAAGACAAGCTGTAAACCAGGAGCCATTCACAGGGAAATCGACGTCGCATTAAATAAGACAAGCTGTAAACCAGGGGCCATACATAGGGAAATCGACGTCGTATTAAATAAGACAAGCTGTAAACCAGGGGCCATACACAGGGAAATCAACGTCGTATTAAATAAGACAAAGTGTTTACCAGGGGCCATACACAGGGAAATCGACATCGTATTTAACAAGAAAAAGTGTTTACCAGGGGCCATACACAGGGAAATCGACGTCGTATTTAACAAGATAAAGTGTTTACCAGGGGTCATACACAGGGAAATCGTCGTCGTATCAAATCCGACGACATGTGAACCAGGGGCCAAATCTACGTCGTATTAAAAAAGACAAGCTGTAACCCAGGGGCAATACACAGGGAAAACGACATCGTATTAAATAAGACAAGCTGTAACCCAGGGGCAATACA